TGACCTCTGTCCTTTAGCTGCAGCTTGAGCACCCTCATATTTAATGTAGTTTATAAATGGTGAGGCCTCCCATCTTCAGAACGTTCTTTCAGTATCTCATTTCTCCCTTTCCTATTACTTCTTCCCAACCCAATAGTCTTTGCTGGGGGGGGGGGGTGAATTAAAATCTACCATACTTTGTTCCCTTCTCTTTTTTGCCTCTAGCTAAGAAGTTGCCAAAGAGTGAACCCCAGAATCTGGGGGGTGCAGCAGGCCGAAGCCGAGGCGTGGATCTCCACGAGCAGTCCCAGCAGAACAAGAGCCAGTGTTGTAGCAACTGAGGGGGCAGCTAGCAGCAAACAAGTATGGAGCTAGCACGAAAGCTAAAAAAAATAACCTCCATTTCCACCCCTCAGCACACAGCCCCTACGGTAACAGCACACTGAGCCCTGGCTCCCAAGGGCTGCCTCCTGACAGCTCCGTCATGGCACTTTTTAACGCTTCAGCAACCAACACCAGGCAGCTGTTGCCACTGACCTCCAACCCCTACTCTGGGACTCGGGGAGGTCAGGTCTCCCAGGACTTACCTTCCAAAACCACCTTTCTTCACTTTGTATTATAGGTGCAAGACAGTGACCTACTTACCTTTCCTCCTCCTCCCCATTTTTTCAGAAAACATTTTTTTGTCTCCTGCCCTTTCTGCTTTTGGTCAACCCCTGTTCTTGATCCCCTTTTCCTCCTTTCCCCAGGATGGAGAAGGTGGTGAACCCAGGAAATGAGGAAGGAAGTTTCCAATTCAGTCACATTAAGGGCCCTGGGGGAGAGTAAGGCTCAGAGCAGGAGGGAGTAAGGAAATTTCCATTTTTGGTTTTATTTGGTTGGAATTTCTCATTTGAAAACACTGCATTATCCATGAGTCAGCCTTGTGGAAGGTGTTTCAAGGTAGAGAATGGGAAGGCAAGCGCGCAGGCACCAGGTGAGAGTCGTGTTGTTAGCTAACTGGGCAGAGGTGGAGGAGGAGGTGGAGATGCAATGTCATCTATGGCTCTTGAACTCTTCCAAGGCTTAATTTCCCCTCAATCAGTCTCTTAGGTAGCTTCTCTTCCGTACTGGGGGAGACGCCGAACCCCGGAGTCCTCCAAAGAATCTTCACTGGTTGCCTGCATCTTTGGCTCTGCTGTGATCTAATTGGAGGAGGGACCAGTTTCTGATATCCATCCTCTGATTTATACGTATGCATTTTTTTTCTCTCTGGCCTTTAGGTGGCCTCAAGCCCAGCCACTATATCCCCCTGCAGTTTGCACTTTAATTGATGGTGGTTCAGTTGGGATACTTGTTTTATGGGAGTTTTGATTGATTTACCTGTCCTCTCACTTTTTTAATTAAATGGAATCCAAGATGTATATGAGGTTTGGGGAGGGACTGTAGAGAACAGTATCAGTGGCAGCTACTCAAGCCCAATCTCCACTGCGAGTTTCCTCCAACTCCGATTCTTAACCTATATCCGTGCCAGCCTGGCTCTTGGGTGTAGGTTTGCCTTTCCTAGGGAATTAACTGAAGCAACTGGAGAGCGGTCTCAGGATGGCACAGGCCATGGAAAGGGGTGAAAAGGAGTAAGGCAAGAGGGAGGAGTTTTCTCTCTTTCCCAGGGCTCATGTTCAATTTGATCCACCTGTTACCGTGTGTTTTCTACTTCCCTGTAAATAGGTATGATCTTTGTTTCCACTGTACAGTCTGTTCTCCACCCCCCACCCCCCAATCAGGCCTCATTTCTTTTCTCCTTTGTTAGTATCTTCAGTTTAGTCCTTCTGTGCTTATCCCCATACTCACCCCCCATGCAACCAGTGGTTTAATCCAAATACCACTAGGGACTAGTACCACAGGCCCACTGGTGGCCACCTTATAATACCTGTCCCTGTGGAGAATGACTGGCACTGAAAATCCCCTCACATCACCAGAAGATGTTGGTCCTTTCTAAATCTCTAGCCTCTCTTTACATCCCTCATCAGGTATTTTAGGATGTCTTTGGGAAGCCATCAAGGCAGGAGAGAATTCTAAACTCCTTGTTCCAGCCTAGAGTTTTGTGAAAATTGGGGGAAGTAATGTAGGAAAGGCCTCAGTGAGGGCCTTGGTGACCTAGGATTGGAACCACTCTGCCCTTTTGGCTTGCAGACTTCCTTCTGTCCCAGAGCAGCTGAGAAATCCATGAGGCTGAGATTCTGAAGGACCTAGCTTAAGTTCTTCCCCTTAGGTCTCAATTCCCTTCCTTTTCCAGGGGCAGCCTTATTTCCTGTGGCCCTGAAACACACATACAGTTTTGCCTTCCTTTCCCAGCACCCCACTAAGCCCCCAAGAACACCCAGTATATCCTTATAAGTGGAAGAACTGGGATGGTTCTCCTAAGTCTCTTAGAAATGAAGTTCTCTCTCTGTACAGCTTTCCCCACGGAGCAGGAATGAGAACATTTCATTGCCTTGGGTCTGGGAAACCATCTATCCAGGCTTCTCCTCCCCTCTCCACCCCCCTTTAGGACTGGCCTTAGCTTCTGGGCCTCTCTGCTGCCTTCCTTCTACTTCCTATCAGCTCTCTGCTTTCCTTTGAGCTCTGTTGGGCTTGGAGATCTTTGTTTTTATTTCCAAGCTTTTCATTTTTCTCTTTTGATCAGTTTTTTTGGGGGGTCCTTTTTTTTTCCTTCTGAGAAAGCATTTGCCTTTCCCCCCCTTCTTCCTCTTCCAACATAACAATCGTGGTAACAGAATGCGACTGCTGATTTACCGATGTATTTAATGTAAGTAAAAAAAGGAAAAAAAAAAGAAAAGTGTATTGGAGTGTTGCTTTTTTTTTTTTATTTTGACTGATACTAGAAATTTGGAAGAAAGGGCGCCCAATGTTTTATTGGATCAAAAACACACCCTCCCCTGCACCAGTTTTTGTTGTTGTTTTTTTTTTTTAATCCTCATCTGAGGACATTTTTTCATTGCTTTTTCTTTCTCTCTCTCTCTTTTTTTTTTTTTTTTTTTGGTGGTGGTGGGAGAGGAAGGGAGAGGGGGAGAGAGAGGGAAACATCCGTTGGTTGCCTCCATAAGTGCCCCAACCAGGGATCAAACCCAGAACCTCAGTATGTGCTCTGACCAGGGATTGAACCCACAACCTTTTGGTTCATGGGATGATGCTCCAATCAGCAAAGCCACATCAGTCAGATGACTGCATCTTGGTGCCTCCTAATTACCTCTGATCTTTTCTTGAATAGTGCAATAACCCAATTTGACTAGCCTCTTTATTACTGTTTAATCACTCCTATTCCCAAATTACTAAAGAGCTCATCAAATCTGACCATAGCTTATTTTTTCAGGTCCTCTTACAGTTAAGGGTATATGTATATATGGGGGAGGGGGGGCATCTGTGGACCTTTGGGCAAACAGTTGATGAAATTGGAGAGGTGGAATTTGTGACTGCTTTGAAGTATTATGCAAAAATTTATGTGCATTTCTGTAGGGGAAGGGTCCTTTGCGTTATTAATATCTCAGAGGGGACCATGACCTAAAGGTTTAAAAAAAACCCCACTGAACTAGCATTTCTGACTGATCATGTGGCTTTACCTCCCCACAGGAAAATTTCTCCTGAATCTGTCATTTCCTACTGTATGTGAAGCCCTTTCATCTATCTCAGTCTAAGTGGACTGGGTGGGGGAGAATGATACAGGGAAAAGATTAGATATGGTTGCAGGAGGAGTTTTAAATTCCAAAGAATCACAAAGACAGGGAAGAGAACTGGTGCCAAACAGACCCAGCATTCCAATCCTGTCTCTGCCAACTAATCATTTAGGTCCTCGATCAGTTACTTAGCTGCTCTCTGTAAAATGAAGTTGAGGTTTAAAGGACAGTTGTGTGCAGCATGTGTGTGGCACACAAGGAAACGATAACTTTTTAGGGAAAAATGTCCATCCCAGTGGCTTCAGATGGTCCCTAACTGATTCCGTATCCTTGGGTTGAGCCTGTTTTTTAAAACTGGTAAGACAGGTCTTGCACTAGGCCTCTCCAGTGATTTAATTATACATAGTTAGGTTGGAAATCTATTTCTAAAAACCTGAGAGCCAAAATCACCTCTACAGTGTCATTTCCCCTTTCTGTATATTTCTTACTACTCTCCCATGATGCCCACGACCCCTTGGTTCTTGGTAAAATCTCTAGTTCAGGAGAGCAGATCAAAGGAGGGGAAAATGATCTTCAAGAATTAAAGATAAAAACCTTAAAGTCAGGTTGTAGCTCAACCTTCTGTTCCCTAGAGGGCAGTGTAGATACATTTGCCCCAGGTTCACAGCCAGCCCGACAAGTCCTGCATCAAATGCTAAAAGGGTTAACAGCAAATGATTTCTATTAGTGTCCTTTGCTCTGACACTGAGTGATTATACTCTTCCCAACTTGGGATGTTGAGTCGTTGCTCTTGTTAAGTGATTTTTAAAACCTGACCTAACTACTCGACCATGGCTGCGGTGGTTCAGTGGATGTGAGTGCCAGCTTGCGAACTGGAAAGTTGCAGGTTCGATTCACAGGCAGAGCCCGCGCCTGGGTTGCGGGCCAAGTCCCCAGTTAGGGGCATGCGAAAGGCAACCAACTGATGTTTCTCTTGCACATGGATGTTTCCCTCTCTTTCTCCTTCCCTTCCAAAAAAATTAAAATAAATAAATAAAAAGTAAATGTTTAAACATTGACTTACTAATCAAAATACAAAAGGCTATTCAGTGTTGCTGGTTCCATGATTTGGGGGGAAATTCAACTAGTCCAAAGAATCTCCAAGGCTTTGAACCACTATTTAAGCTTTGTTTCTGCTCTCATTCTTGTCTGTAAGAGAACTGATCACTTGATCTTGTCTCTAAAAGACAAACAGCTGTTGTAGCTGCAACAGAAGTTTGTCAAAAGCAGGGTAGGGGCGAGCCCCACCACCCGGAGAGGGCGGGCTGCATTCCGAGGCCTCCTCCAATGAACGTACCTTGAGCCTCCGCGGTAGGGGTGGCGTGGGGTGGGGCCATCTCAAAGTTGCCCACCTATTAAACCCAATCTTTGTAGTCCTCGTTACTTTCCACTGCTCGGTTCCGACAAGAGTGACGGTGCCGTTCCTTGTCCCCGGGGGTAAAACAACAACAAAAAAAACCCTGCTCTAGCTTCAAGCCCTGGAGGCGCCCTGCCTACTGCAGCCTCCAGGAGGCGGGCACAGCAGCTGGGAGAGGTCTGCAGCCCGCCAATGGCTGGGGCCCAGCAGAGGAACAGGACGATCCTTTAATCCTCACGTCACATCACGGTGCTGGCCCCGCCCCTTTACCAGCAGTCCCGCAGTGGACCGGTCCTCCTGGCGTACATCTAACAGGGTAAGAGGGCTGGGGCCAGGAGAAGGAAAAGGAGGGGGATGGGCTGGTGACCTAGGTGACGGCGGGGTCCTTGTCGCCAAAGGATTCTTCAAACCATGAGGACAACAAAACTGCCGGTACCTGTCTCCAATCCGGCTGTCCGGTTGCTCCTTCTGGGGCGCGAGGTGTTGCTACAAGAAACTTGTGTCAGCTCTGGGTAGTGGCATGAGACCACGTGCTTGTGCCCCGGTGCTGGACTTAGCCTTCTACCTAAAGTGCCTCTGAGGAATGGCATCTGTTATACAGCTACCTCTTCCAAAACCTGGGACATTGAACTGAGTTCACCTGCCAGTTAGCCCAGTCTGGTTCAAGTAGGCTACTGGTATTGAGGGAAGGTGGGAGGGAGAGAGGCCCATAGCCCAGAAGTAAAATGCAGACTCTGCTCCTACTTCTTTCTCCCTTGCAGTTTCTCTGCCTGACCCCTGCCCCCCTCTTTCGCATCTCATCGGCAATTGGAGCTCTTTTCACCCCTCCCCAGTTGGGCCTCCTAGGGTCAGTGATCTGCTCCGTGCTGTGAAGAAGAAACTACTGCAGGGCAGAGAGCAGAAAAATTACCTTCTTCCTTCTCTAGCCCATCCCCTGACAGCTTGGTCATTAACTCCTCAATTTGCTGAACTCCCTGGATGGCATAGACAAGGTAGAGGTGGGTACCTGGGTTTGGGGTCCAGGTTTTCTGTTTAGGGTGGGTGGAGAGAGGAGGACACTGCAAGGCCTTCAAAGATAATGTTAGTACCTGTTTACTGGTCACAGTGCTGTGCTAGGTAGATCTCATTTCATAGACAAGGAGGCAAGTTCAGAGCGGCTTCGTTATGTTGCCCAGAGAACAGGGCTGACTAGTGGCAGGGCATTTCACAAACCCAAAGCAGTTTGACTCCAGAATCTGAGCTCCTTTACCCCATTAGGCTGCCACCACCTTTTTCACCGTTTGTCCCTGTTTAAAAGTCAGTCTGCCTGTCAGTTGTCTTCTGACTTCAGAAATAAACCGTGCCATTTTAGACCCAAAAATAGACTGGAGGATGGGAGATGGGTGATTCGAGAAGACTCCTATTTCTCCCCTCACTCTCCCCACCCCCATTCCTCTTCATCTTGTCAGTACCGTCTGTCTCTAGTGTTCCAGCTTTTTCTCTAAGGGCTCATTTGGACTCCCATTCCTACCCTTTGGCCTCATTACCACAGAAAATCTCCATTTGACCTCCTCTGTTTCTTCCCCCGGCCACCTATTCCCTCACACTGCCCTAATATCATCCCCTCCCAGGAATTCCCATCTCGATCCCAGAATCTTCATCCTACAGGTCTGCCACAATGCTGCTGCTGCTGCACAGAGCTGGGGTCCTGGGCCTCAGACAGGCCTGCAGGTAGGCCACCCTATCCTAGTCTCAGAACCCCTATCTCCCCTCCCAGTATCTTTATCTGCCACGTAAGATAGTTGAGATGTTGGCCAGGAAGGAAAGAACAAGCTAGATCCCACTTGTCCCACCCATCCCTGGAGAAACTAAGTTCCAACTGAATGAACCAATGGCCAAGCAGGGAGAGGTAAACCCAGGCCTTCACTGCTCAGATGTGTGCTACTAAAAAGATCTTTTTTCTCTTCCAGACTCAAGTGTACCCACTCGAGGCTCTGCATTCAGGCCTGCTCTACAAATGATTCATTTCAGCCCCAGTGCCCCAGACTTGCCTTCTCTAGAGATAACTCTAGGACCAGGGGATGGAGAGTCATGGGGACCCTGCTAGGCCTCGGGGCAGCGTTGGCCTATCATGACCACCGTTGCAGGGTAAGTGGGAAAGGAAGAGACTTCACTGTCAGAACAAAGGGATCCTAGTGAGCATCCCAGGCAAGCCAGGCTGTTACCACTGTATTCATGTACAGTGGAGATGAAATCTGCTACCTCCATTTCCCAGTGTCCATGACTGTGCGCATTGGCTCAGGGTAAGGCAGAGTGATTTCTTCTTAATATTCTGTTCCCTTTTGCCTCACCCCTTCCCTGCCTGCAGGCTGCTCAGGACTCAACACGCATATACACAAGGGAGGAAGTAAAATCCCACAGCAGCCCTGAAACTAGGATCTGGGTGACTTTGGGATCTGAGGTTTTTGATGTCACAGATTTTGTGGACCTACACCCTGGGGGGCCATCAAAGCTGATGCTGGCAGCCGGGGGTCCTCTAGAGCCCTTCTGGGCCCTCTATGCCGTTCACAACCAGTCCCACGTACGTGAGATACTAGCTCAGTACAAGATTGGGGAGCTGAGCCCTGAAGACAAGGCGCCATCCACCTTGAAGACCTCTGACCCTTACGCTGACGATCCTATACGTCACCCAGCTCTGAAGGTCAACAGCCAGCGTCCCTTTAATGCAGAGCCCCCCCCTGAACTGCTAACGGAAAACTATATCACACCCAACCCTATCTTCTTCACCCGAAACCATCTGCCTGTACCTAACCTGGACCCAGACACCTATCGCCTGCATATTATAGGACCACCTGGGGGTCAGTCACTGTCCCTATCCCTGGATGACTTGCACCGGTTCCCCAAGCACGAGATCACAGCCACTGTACAGTGTGCTGGCAACCGGCGCTCTGAGATGAGTCAGGTAAAAGAAGTAAGAGGTCTGGAATGGAGTACAGGGGCCATTAGTACTGCACGCTGGGCCGGGGCACGACTATGCGATGTGTTAGCCAAGGCTGGTCACCAACTCCGTGATACCGAGGCCCATGTTTGCTTTGAGGGACTGGACTCAGACCCCACAGGAACTGCTTATGGGGCATCGATCCCTCTGGCTCGGGCCATGGACCCTGAAGCTGAGGTCCTGTTAGCATATGAAATGAATGGGCAGCCTCTGCCTCGTGACCATGGCTTTCCTGTGCGGGTGGTGGTTCCTGGTGTGGTGGGTGCCCGCCACGTCAAATGGCTGGGCAAAGTGAGTGTGGAACCAGAGGAAAGTTACAGCCACTGGCAGCGGCGAGATTACAAAGGCTTCTCTCCATCTGTGGACTGGGACTCTGTAGATTTTGACTCAGCTCCATCTATTCAGGAACTTCCTGTCCAGTCAGCCATCACAGAACCCAAGGATGGGGAGATCATAGAGTCAGGAGAGGTGACTGTCAAAGGCTATGCATGGAGTGGTGGTGGAAGGGCTGTGGTCAGGGTAGATGTGTCTCTGGATGGGGGCCTAACCTGGCAGGTGGCTGAGCTGGATGGGGAGAAACAGTACCCCCGAAAGGCCTGGGCCTGGCGGCTATGGCAACTTCAAGCCACTGTGCCACCTGGGAAAAAGGAATTGAACATTACTTGTAAGGCTGTTGATGACAGCTACAATGTGCAGCCAGACACCGTGGCCCCAATCTGGAACCTGCGAGGCGTGCTCAGTAATGCCTGGCACCGTGTCCATGTCCGTGTCGCCCCATGAGAAGGTGAAATGGAACCATCTACTACCCAGAGCCACCTTCTCAATGCCTTTCCACACCCATCCTTTAGCGTCATTTCCACAGCAAAGCCTTTCCCACCATCTCTCCACTCCTTGGATCAGAATCTTGTACTATGCTTTCCTCAGCCACACATAGGTACACAGGCAAAACCCTCTTTTGTTACTGCTTCATGTTTCTGGCCACTGACCCTGTGCCAGGAGGTGAGAGTCATCAGAGAAAGGGGCTAGAAGTGGGAAAAGTATTTCCGGAAACAAGCATTATTTTCTCTTCCTCCTGCACCTCCACTTCTAACGTTTATCACCACTGAAGCCTTGTATTTTGCTTTTCTTCTTGGATTCTTCAGAGAATGTGGATATATGTAAGCTTAAAAAGTAGCTATGTGACTTTCTATTGTCTCTCTGGGTTGCCAGGGGTATGAGTAGTGCAACCCTCTCCCTTTATTATTACACTTTTATAAATATTTCAATAAAACATCTGTTTAAGACTACAACACTAAAAAAAGATGATTTTTGGGACCTCTTGAGACTGAGTGAGCATGTTGCCCCAGGGAGGTGCACTGGTACTGGGATGTGCAGTGAGAAAGATAATTCAAAATAAAAGCTGGAGGAAAGGGAGAAAGGAAACAGGTGCAGGGAAGTCAAGAAGTGGGGCTTCCTTCTCGAAGGTTTGTCAATATCTACTGCTTAGGTGACTGACCTCAAGATATCCCCCGAGAGAGTAAACACTATTTGCCACTTTAAACCCCTCCCCCTCACAGTACCTAACGCGCACTTGACAGGAAAGGCAAATAGCTGAGAGGTTAAAGTCAATATTATCTTGAGGTTCAGGGGCAAAATTTGGCCTTAGGGGCACGTGTGCCAGGACACGTGAGGTGTCCAGTGTGCTCCCAGTTTGCAAATCAGATGCAGATGAAAGGGCAGCCATTGAGTTACCCTCTGCAAGAGACCGTGCCTTCAGGACTTGAATCTTTCGGCGCTCAGCTACTCTCCCCTAGCTCTTTCCCCAGCAGTTTCTATGGCTGGGGGCGCTCGGTATTCAGCCACGCCGCCTGTCGCCTCGTAGTGGGACCGGAAGTTGTTCGGGGGAGGGGAGAGGGCTGTGATGGGGGGGACTTATGGGGGGGCCGTCCCTCTTCAGGTGAAGCTGCTGATGAAGATGGAGCCGCCACCACCGCTGAGTGTCTGGGTCCAGGCTCCGGCCCGGCTGCCACTGCCTCAGTGACCCCCCCACTCCCCCCCGCACTGGACCGCCCTGGCCAGAGTGGGGGACCCCCGCCACCCCGCCTCCCTCTCCCCCAATACCGTCCCTTCTCTCTCATCTCCACCCCCCCGGCCTGCGCGCGCGCGCGCGCGGAGCTGCCTCAGGTGAGTGAGAGGCGGGGCTTGGGCGAAGCATAGGGGCGGGGCCTAGTCAGACGGGGGCGGGGCCTGAGGGGCTTGGGTTTGAAGTAGGGGAGATTTGGACGGGGCTGGCAGCGACAGGGTTGCTGGGTTACGGCCTTAGGGAAGAAGGCTGGACTTGGGGAGTTTGGCGCCAGGCCCCAGGGTTGAGGGGGTGGTAGTAGGGACCAAGGGGTCCTAAAAAGGCGGGAGACGGATTAATGCGGAGGACATGTAAAGGCTGGCGTTCGGGAGGTTCTTTGGTAGGGTACGGCAGGGGTAGAACAAGAGACACGGCGGGGAAAGGAGAAGCAAAGAGGATACCTGAGGGGAAAAGCCAGGGACTCGGGTTTGGTCGAGACAGTTGGAAGAAAAGACAGGCCTAGGTGGGAAAGATCTTAACAATGAACAAAGTGGGAGATATTCGGTAGAGAAGAAACTTAAAGTGGAGTGAAAAGTGCTATTTGAGATACTGTGTAGGGTAAGAAGTCTAGGGGACCTGAGAAGCAAGGCTAAGAAGGAAGAGATTCACTGCATATGAACCCTAAGAAAGAAATGTAAGAGAAAAAGCCCTGGGGCAGACCAGGGGGTGGGAGTAGAGAGGAGCCACAGACTTAAGAAGCAGGTCTAAACTAAAACAGTTCTCCAAGCAGCTCCTCACAGGGCCCCATCCCAGTTTTTTCTTCCCCTTTGCTAGAGTTGTAAACTCACTTTTTAAGTGTTTGTTTGTTTGTTTGTTTGATCATCATTGGTCCTTTTTGGAGACAATGGAATGTTTAATGGAACACGGACCTTTAGATATGAGATGTTTAGGAAATAAGGTATACTTTTTTCCCCCTCCAAGGTCAAGAATTTACTAACTCTGCTTCCAGGAAGATTTGCTGCATTACCAACTAATGTGTCAAACAAGCTTTGCCTACCTTCTTTTACCTCAGTCTCTTCTCTCATAAGCAAAACTCCACTGTTATGACTCTTATTGACTCCCAATTACATATTTGATAGCTCCAGCTATGCCCTAGTTTCCCCAGCCTGAGCCCTCCAAGCATCAGCAGTAAGCTTGATGTTCCTGGCTCATGCATCAGCTCTAGGTTTTACATCATCATGGCCAAGCTGAAGACAGTCAAGGCCTGGCTATCTCCCCTTACTGTTACTTGTTCACTTAGACTCAATGATGTTCATATCTTTAGGAAACATTAAAAACAGGTGTCTGACTACCTAGAACATTTCCATTTAATATAATTCAGATTTTGAGGACAAGAACAGATAAAAGGCCAACTCATACAATCTGGAAGTGTAACCTCTTGTTTGGCAGGAGAATGTTAAATGCCTAGCCAGGAATCCCTCATCCCCTTGTGGGTCTGCTAATAGGTCAGTGAACCTTGCTTTGTGGTATGTGGGGAACTTCACAGAATCCAGACAGTTCCCTGGGTCATGAGAACAGCCAAGTGAGTGGCTCCTGAGATAAAAATAAAGTCTTATAAGAAGACAATAGCCTTATCATTGGAAAGCAGGAGAGGTTTCACTGGAGCTTCTGGGGTGGTGGGAGCTGCCTTCACTTCGGCAGTTTCAGAATTGTATCTTGTCCTAGTCAATAAATGCTGATGTCTCAAGCACACAACAATGTCTTTCTTGCCAACTGAATGCAGTTAGTTCAGTTGTAGCTTCTGGGTAATCCCCTTCCTCCCAGTAGGTTAAGGGTAGAGCTTATTACAGGACTTGGTTCAGAAATAAGTCCTGACTTTTTTTCCAGTGAAAATGCAACTGAGTTTCTCCTTTATTTCCTCTTAGTTCAAATCTGCAGCCCGCACTTCCCAGCATGGGAGGAACATGCCACTTTTTACTGGCCCCCCAACATCCACAAAGGAATTATTTTCTCTCAAACTGGCCATCTCTGTTCCTTGAGCACACGCACAAAATAGCCAAGGAAAAATAAAGATAAAGTATTTATTGGGCAGCTCTTTGTAGCCTCATTTTACTTGGTGGGAACAAATTAGAAGTGGGACCCTGTAAAAATACCAATACAGAAGGACTCCTTTTCTTTGTTGGTCTCTTGACCCTGCTGGAGAAGGCTCTGAATTCAAGCTGTTTGATATGCATCCTCTTCTTAGAAGAGTTGTGGACTCTATTTGAAACAGAGACACAAGTTCAAGGTTTACTAGACGAAAGGACCTGAGAAAGAATAGTGCTGATATGAATAACCTGGCTCCCTCATCCCCCGGGATAGTATCAACCTTGTAAACTCTGCTACAATACATATGATCCCATAATCCTTGAGCCGAGAAGCCCTGTTTCTTTCTTAAACATATTTAGTGAGTGTCTAAATTGGCTTTTTCCTCAGGCATATAATCTCTGAAAAAGAAACATGGGAAGGAGATCATTATTCTTTGTCTGATCCATATGTTTCTAGTTCAAGGATTTCATTCACTAAGATGTAGACCCCAAAACTATTCATTGTCTCACCCAAGAAACTGAGCAAGCAGGGTGGCCCCAAACCCTCCAGCTGTGGCAAAATTTAACTTTGTGCCATAGTGGGAAGACCCCCAGACTAGTAACCTGGGTTCTATTTGTCCTATTTCTATCACTAACCATTCTGGGCTTAGTTTCTTCTTCAGTTAAAAAACAAAGTGGGCTCTGGCTGGCATAGCTCAGTGGATTGAGCGTGGGCTGCGAACCAGGCATCGCAGGTTCGATTCCCAGTCAGGGCACATGCCTAGGTTGCAGGCCATGGCCCCAGCAACCACACATTGATGTTTCTCTCTCTCTCTCTCTCTCTCTCTCTCTCTCTCTCTCTCTCTCTCTCTCTCTCTCTCTCCGTTCCCTCTCTAAAAATAAAATAAGTACAATCTTAAAAAAAAAAAGTGGAGCCCTGGCTGGTTTGGTTCAGTGGATTGAACACCTGGCGTGCTGACCAAAACGTTGCTAGTTCCATTCCCGGTCAGGGCACGTGCCTGGGCTGCTGGCCAGGTCCCCAGATGGGGGCAGGCAAGAGGCAACTGATGTTTTCTCTCACACATTGATGTTTTTCTCCCTCCCTTCCTTTCCATCTCTCTAAAATAAATAAATAAAATATTTTTTTAAATGGGAGATATCTCTCAGTTCTATTCTAGGTCCAAGATTCCCCAGGTCCTAAAGTATCTCTATTTCAAGTCCCTCTACTTGAAGAGAGCTTACTGAATGGACTGTCAGAGCAAGGTTCTTTGTTAGCAGAGGAGCCTGAAAACATCTTTCTGACCCAAACAACAGTGAGCTCTTTTGATCAGCATGCATTAGGGACTTCTGTCCAGGGCTGCCACCAAAGACAATTGTTCCTATCTCATCCACCTTTTTGCCACCCTACCCCAGTCAGAATAGTTAATTGGGACTTCTGTATATCTTCAAACTTCACTTGATAGAGCTAACCCTGTTCGGGACATCTTAGGCTTCAAAACTGATAATTATAAAACTCAAATTGAATTCCCCTGCTCTACTTGCCCCAACCCCGCACATAAGACTGAACAGCAGTGACTGTGTGGGGTCTTTCTATAAATACAGGGATTGTATATGCAAGGGTACACCCCAAGCCCAGAGAGCATCATCTCATGTGCATCATACCTAGTGATTTAAACTGTTTCATTTGGCTCTTTTCTTAGTTCCTTAAGTTCTGAAATGAGACATGGGAGGGGTAGGATTGTTTCTCCTCCCACCCATAAACCTTAGCTTTCTCTCTCTTCCACAGTCTACATGAGGAGGACAGGGAAGCACAAAGAACAAGAGAAAAGATGCATTCATCTGAGATCTAAAAGGAGACAATGAGGTGATATTTTCCCCACTGCCCAGGTGTCGTGTTTCCAGCTCTTACCCCTTCTTATTTGAGAGCCTGGCCATTGCTAGGATGACCTGGGAACTCATCCTCTCTGCACTGCTCCCCAAGCACTTGGATAATGAAACTGAGCTGTCATCATCTGTGTTGTATGTATGTAGACAGAAGCTCACATCTACAGCCTGGTGAAAAATGGGCAGATATCTTCCTGCTGTAAAGACAGACACATAAGCTGAGATAAGGTTGGTGGGTTTCTTTCAGAGGGCACTAAGTTGTCCCTAAAGATCCTTTCAGCACTGCAAAGTGCTTAATGTCCAGGTCTG